GAAGAGAGGTGGAGCTGAGGGTTAGGCTGTAAGGCTGGGACCAACTGACGACACCCGGTCGAACTAGCTACAAGCTAACCCAAAGCTAACGCGGAGGTGGGAGCTAAGCTAACAGAGGTAGCAACCTAGCTACAATCGGAGTTAACTGTGCACAACGCCAGAGCTTCTGAGTCAGAGATACGCCGGGCTGACCGCTGGATAAAACCGGGTGGAACACAGAGGTCTCCTAGAGCTCTGCCGCTGGGGAGAACCGGGTGGAAAGATTTCCATCCCAGAGCTCCACAAGCCGGCAACCCGCGCAGCAGACAGAAGCCGCGATCAGACAGAGATGCGCCGAGCTGCGGGGAGTGGAGAACGGGTGGAAAACAGAGGTCTCTCGTAGGGTTGTCACGGTATGAAAATTTAACCTCACGGTTATTGTGACCAAAATTATCACGGTTTTCGGTATTATCGCGGTATTTTTTAAACGGTGTTGCATATGTTCAGAAAGCATTGATAGTCCTGTTCTACACAAACTGAAATAGTTCTGAAAAGGTTTAACAGTGTTTATTAAACCTAAAATAACACAAAGCCTTAGCAAAAGTGCAACTTTTCACAAGTAAAGGAACAAATAGCTTCTTTTTCTGGAACATGTTACAGTAGTCAGTGCAGGTTTAAATTATACAAATCCAAACATTCAAAACATAAACAATATGTAAACAAATCAAAGAAACACCACTTGTTTTCTCATATACTTGTTTTCTTCATTATCAAAATGAAAATCTAAAACTCCAGTCCACACTTGACTTGAGCACTGTACAAGTCAACCTTAAAAAATATGTATTTAAAATAAATAGCCACTTTAAACAAATTACTAAAATAACTACTACACTATGTAATCAAATCCAAATGTTCAAGTATAAATGGCATTGAATAAGTAAACAAATCCATGACAAGGAACTAATTGTATATTTCTCTTCATCATCAACAAATAAGATGCTTCATCCAGCAACAGGGTGTCCGTGACACGGTTTAAATGCTGGCAGAGGACGCTGCGGCTGCAGTATGTAGTGACTCGTTGCATTCTCCCTCAGCCAAAAGTCCTCACGTTATGCATTTCAGCTAAAATGCTAATGTTAACTTACCTTGCACTGGCTGTGGAGACGTGGGTGATCGTCACGCAGATGTGCCATGAGATTTGAAGTGTTGCTGCCTTCTGCAGACACTTGTTTCCTGCACGTTCTGCAAACGGGATAGCAGTCTTCTATTAACTGTCCCTCAGCATTTTTCAGAAATCCCAAATATGCCCATACTTCCGATTTAGTCTTCTTTGAGGGCTGATGGATGTCCTGGGCGCTGCCGTCGCCTCCTTCGGCCATTATTTCAGCTTCAAAGTTTTGGTGCCGTTGCAAATTAAAAAGTGCGTGTGCGCGCAGCGGGAACTTCAGCTGAAGCGACGGTGGCTGGTAAGGGTCATCGCGCCGAAACCGCGGCCACGGTAAACCCACCGAGATAATATAGTTTTTTAAAAACTGGACGGTTATTTTTATTGTCAACTTTTTTACCGGGGTTTACCGCTATACCGGTTACCGTGACAACCCTAGTCTCTCGAGAGCTCCACAATAGTGATGTGTCGGTCGCGAACGAACCGGCTCTAAGAGCCGGCTCTTTGAAGTGAACAACGGGAGCCGGCTCGTCATTGGGAGTCGTCCCCTACCCTCCACCCTTCCCCCCTGCCTTGGTGAAAGCTACAGGCGATTGGTCAACATGTGTAACTGTGTGTCCAGACTGTCCACACACAGTGCAGTAGGGGCGGGGAAGAGGGAGGATCATACTCAGACACACAGCAGAGCACATGCGGGTGAAGGGAGACGAAAGGGAATGAGGAGGAGGAAAAAGGCGAGAGAGAGGAGAGTGCAACGAAGACGGTGAGAAAATGAGCGCCAGCAGTAGGGAAGTGGAGTTTTCTTAAAGTGTTAAGTTATTAAATCCATAGAAATGATAAATATTTGATATATTGCTTTTTTTACATTAGAAAATTATTTTACATATAGTTTAGCATTTTTTGGTTATAAATGTACTCTACGCAACAGAAAATCTGAGGAGCCACTTGGGAGCCAAAAGAGCTCCCAAGTGGCTCCTCACTTGGGAGCGGCAGTTGATGCAGCTTTTTTCTTTCACATTTATTTCACGCTGTATTTAACCGGAACTGGCTCAATACCCGACTCCCCGTCGTTGCTCGAAGCGTCCCTTGAGTCAGAATGGCAGGACAGAATCACACTTGCCAAATAACGTTATTAAAAGGTGCGCATAAAAACGGTATTTACTCCCTCCCTGTGCGTTTGGTTTCACCCCGAAACTGAACGCACAAGAGCCGTGGTGGAAGAAGGCCAGCGGAGAATTTTAAGCATAATATTACACTTAAACAGAGAGTTAAAAATAAATGCACCCTCATCATAGTTGTCATGAGTGTAAACTAGATCTATGAAACCAAAATGTTTTTTGAACCAGGATGTAAACATGTTTATTTTTGCTGTGAAATGGGCATTTTTAACATGGGAGTCGATGAGGATTTGTCCACTTCTGTTGCCAGCCCCTAGCGGATGATGATGGAACTGCAATAGTTGCCACTTCCGTGTTGGCTTCGTAAAATTCGGACCAAAATGGCCCCTTCCTGTGGAAAATCACCTGTGTGTTTCCAGTTCCCAAATTATCACATCTCAGGGAACCAGACCACTATAGAACAGCTGCCTTGACCTCCCACCTGATGAAGACCATGGAGAGAGACTTCCTCGCCCACCTATGCTTCGTAGTTAGCGCAGAGATTGACCCACTGAAGTTTGCATATAACCGAAACATGGGGATTGAGGTTGCCCTCATCTACCTGCAGCACCAGGCACTGACTCACCTCAAGATGCAAAAAAGCCAGTTGAGAATCAAGTGTTTTGACTTCTCAAGTGCTTTTAACACCATCCAACCGTCTCCACTATAGCAGAGGATGACGGGTGCAGGAGTGGACAAACTTCTGAATGCGTGGACCATCTACTACCTCACCAACAGGCAACAGTATGTGAGGCTGCACACTTATGCCGCCACGTCGTTGCGGCAAATTGACGGCATTGTTTTGTAAAAATGGCTTTTGTTGTTCACTCTGCTGTGGTCCGTTGGGGTGCATGCAGCTGTGAGTCCAGTCTGGTTCTGGTTGAAGGTTACAATGATAGCTTACTGCCTTTTTGTGTTTTCCTGTAATCTTTTTATTTTTCTTCATCCTTTTCTTTGTGCTGCTGTAACAGGTCAATTTTCTCACTGTGGGATTAATAAAGTTTATTCTATTCTAACAATCAGGGGTTCTTCCAGAAAACTTGCTGAGCGAGGTGGTAGAGAAGCTCATGGGCGGCCCAAAGTGTCTTTGTAAAAAAAAAGTTGTCAGGAAGTTAAAAATGATGACTGATATGTGGTGTTAAAAGCCATTTATTAGACCTTTTTTGTAGATTGATAATACTTGTCAGTCTAAAAAAAGAGAGTCATCTAACATTTAAAATTTAAAGTGGAAACTGTCCACATCACTAAATACACATTCAATAATTGGAGAAGTAGTCACAGCCAAGTAATTTGACAAGATCAAGCAAGGCTGCATATTTTTTATGATGGACCATTTCATGTTTTAGCAGCCAGTACCCACCAAGTATTGCCTCATGCTCCATGCTACTCATTGGTTCAAATGTTAGTGAATGACAAGCCTACAACGTGAAAATGTGAAAGCTCATTAGTTGATTCATAACACTCACAGGTAGGGCTGCTCAATTAATCGAATTTTAGTCACGATTACGATCTGAGTTTTGAATGATTATAAAAAACAAAACAAGCTGATTATTTGCTCCTCCCGCTTGCGCTGCCCTGAGTTGCAAATGAAGCGCTCCTCCCTAGCGACTTTGACGCTATTTCTAGCAGCTTTTCAGACCCCCTTCTTGACTTTTTAACTTAAAAGTGCCTAGCGAACACCTCAGAAACATCTCTGGTAACCCTTAGCTACTTTCTGGATAACTGTCGTCGACATTTCCTGCAGGTTAGCTAAACACTCCGCCTGCGCTCCGGACCGTTCTTCGGAATATTAGGAAAGGGAATGATGCAGTGATGTGTCAGTCGCTAAAGACAGCTCTCGGAGCCGGCTCATTGTTGGATTAACCAGAGTGAGTGACACGCACACCACACCTGCGGACTCCTGAGACACTAAAAACGGCTAAATGTGCGAGTGCGGCGTGCTAAACACACGTGCAGCTTGCCCCGATTGCTGTGAGACCGGGTTGGGGGGTGGGGGGTGCAGCTGTGGTTGGGACAATTATTACATTAACTGATTGACCTGTAAATAAATAGTTTATAAATAAGGTAGAAATAAGTTACTCACGCTGATAAATAATAGCTAACCTCTCTGAGGACACGGTGCTAGTGCACTCTCCTACAGCACCTTGACACGACTCAATAAATGTTATGCAACATTTTGTCAACATCAATTTATTTGCATTTATTTGTTATAAATGCCACTGCATAATTCTTGCTGTCAGTGTTTGCAAGATATTGGTATTTGGGTCTGTACTGGTTAGACTTAAATGAGTTAAACCAAGGTCTACAGCCCTTGGGTCATAGACTCTGAGCTGGAAATTATACTGGGAATCAGGAGTTATTTTAGTGATCACCTTGTGTCTTATTTTTGTCCTGATTGTGCCCTGAGCAATTTTATGACTGAATAAAAACAAATAAAATCAACATAAATTGAAAAATCATCCTAAATAATCGTGATCTCAATTTCAGTCACCATAATCGTGATTATTATTTTTGCCATAATCGAGCAGCCCTACTCACAGGACTATGAATTGGAACTGAATTGTGAGGTACCTAAAATGGCACACCCCTTTCATAATCCTAATTTTTTATGTTACCATGTGCGTCTATAGATAATCGACTTTCTCCACTTCATGGTTAGGGGAACCTTGTTACATCTGGCCTCTGATTGTTTTTTGCAGGTGTGCAAACGCATGGATACAATCTGCCAGCGGGTTTTGAATCAGGGCTTCCTGAAGGTGGAGAGGTACCACAGCCTCTGCCAACGGCAGGTCAAAGCCCAGCTCCCCAGGTTAGTGGCACATTACCTCTAGCTGTGCAGGACAAACACTAAAACAGGTTATTCAACAATGTATAATCAAGTGTGTATGTGTGATTTGTGTTGTATGTAGGCGCGAGTCTGAAAGGAGAAACCATTCCCTGGCTCGTCATGCTGACATCCTGGCAGCCGTAGAAACGCGCCTCTCTCTCCTCAACATGACATTCATGAAATATGTTGACTCCAACCTGTGCTGCTTTATTCCTGGAAAGGTTTGCTAAATCCACCTCTGACGGGGGGTGGTGGGGGGGGTGGGTGGGGGGGATGGACAGGGTTTCTGCGGGGTCTTAAAGCGGCCCTAGCATAAAAAAATCCACTTTTTTGAGCTTTTTACCATGTGATATTTCCTCATGAGAACAACCCCAAACCCATTCATGGCTGCATTCATGCATTTTCCAGTATCAGCTGCAAATTTAGAGTTTTACATCAGGCATTTCAAACTACATCAGGCATTTCAAACTACATCAGGCATTTCTCATCTCCCTGAAGCTAGTGGTCTCTGTTCTGAAACCTGGATATTCTGTGGATAGTCTGACAAATTACTTCTGCATTGGGGACAAAACACTGCTGTAAAAACCACACATTCTGTCTACAAAGATACACGAAATGGCCAGCACAGGAAAAGGCGACTATGGTTTTGCAACATACTCGGTAGTCCGGTGGTTGGCGTGCCCGACTGGGCGCTTAAACCACTGGACTACCAAGACCAGCAGACAACAGCAGACTTGACAAAAGCTCTCTTGTTGGTGCGTTTTGTCGGGGCGGGGGTGGGCAGAGCTTCACTGAAACTAACCGTTTTATTTCCAGGTAGAAATTCAGGCTGACAAAAGTAGGGATGCAACGATACCACTTTTCCCCAAACCGATAAGATACCGATGCTTGGATCTGAGTACTCACCAATACTGATTACTGATACCGATACTTCTACCACACAAAAAAATGCAATGAATTGGAATACAGGTTTTATTTTCTTCTTTGTTTTCAATAGGAAAAGACTGCGAGGTAGATAAAAAGTAAAATATGTTAATATAAATGATCACAAAACTAAAATATTTGGTGAACAGAAATGACAAGTTACAGTGAAGTCACTTTCAAGCAACTGCATTGGTATCAGTTACTGGTATCTGTTAACTTTTACCAATACCGGTATTTGTATCTGTATCGGCACCGATACCAGTATCGGTATCGGTGCATCCCTAGACGAAAGTAACTTATTTTTAAGATAAATGACATCTCTATAATGCCAGTGGTAATATTTTATCATAAATTCAATGACTACAAGACTTCTTTGTCAATACCAACACCTTTAACCACTGTTTCACATCTTACTGAACTTATTTATTAAATGCATTACAAATGAATATATTGTTAAAGTGACCATGTGTAGTTTTTATCATTAATCTCTGGAAATTTCTTTTGAAATGATACAATGACTTAAATGATGCCCAGTTATTAAAAAATAATGGCGGCTTCCTAACATGTAACCAGAAAAAATTAGGTCTAAAATACATGGGAGTGGGCCTAACCCCGGCTTTCCACAGGAGCCGTCAGCAGCACGTCATAGCTGCTGATAGGAACCGCTGTGGTCAACAGAACCTTTTCCACCGGAGCTGTCGGCAGCCGTCAGCAGCGCGAGTCGGCCGCGTCTCAGGAGCAGCATGTCGTGGCCCTTACGCGCCGGTTCTATTTTCTACGCGCAACGCCTCTGAAACGGGTCAAGTTCGACATTTTGGGGGAAGGAAAGACAGGAAATCGGACGCGGAAATGGAGAGAAGCTCCCAAGATTTTCAGAATAAAGAACGTTCTGCCTTCCGGTTGCTTTACTTTAAAAAAGGTTACCAACTGTGCGGCCCCGTGAGAAGTTATCACCTAGCTAGCGGTCTCCTTTGTTTTTCAGGTCCGTATTGGCGATTATAAAACGGACAGAACATAAAACAAACCATGTTGTAGTTTTCTCCTGCTTGTTGTTGTGTTTACTGACGAAGTCACTCGTGTGACTTCGTGCTCGGTCGGTGACAGCTGCTCCCCTGCTGCTTCGCGTCTCGTGGGAAGGGCCAAGCAGCAGCTTACGCGAGCAAGACATGCTGCTGCAGTAACGTGCTGCTGACGGCTCCTGTGGAAACCCGGGGTAAGGGTGTGTCCGAATCCGGGGGCAGGATGCTTGTGAGGATGGGTCCTTGCTGGTCCAGCAAGGTCGGGTCCTTGCTCGAGTGCTAAGACTGGAAGCTAGCGGCTCTGAATTTGTGCTGTCTAGCTTTCACCTCTATGGTGGCCTGTAGGTCCTGACACAGCTGTGACAGCAGCTACACAAAAAGGAAACAAGCTAAAGCTAGCGAAAATTGAGCTGGAATATTTTAGGAGCTACAGCAACTTTACCACCATCACCAGCATTTGTTCACAACCGTTTCCAGGTAATGTAATTTTGTTTAGTCTACAATCTTTCAGGACTTGCATGTTACCCTCAAGCTTGGTTCATGCTTCTGCGTCCGCTCCACAAGGGAGAGACACGCACGGATTGACGAAATCGTTTAGCCTTCAGACTTCTCCGTCTCCTGGGGAGTGTTGCAAAGCAATTCCTCGCCAGGACAACAGAGGGCAGAACGCTGTTCTGGAGTGTTCTGTCATATATCCGGTCCAAGATGGTGCATTTAATTGTGTTTATGTATTTCAGAGACATTTTAACATGGACAAATTTGTCCCTCATTCTCCTCCACCTCTTTATGCGTTCGCCACCTCTAAACCCACGTTTCCATCCACAAATAAAACGCTTGCTGCCGGTTATTTTACTTCTCCAGTCACGGGTGAATAAACGTTCATATTTTTCCACGATCTCCAATCTGCTCTGAGTCTGCCACTAGATATCATCGTTTTTGAGGGTGCAATGGCGGTGCTGTTGACGAAAGTGGCATCCTGACCTGTCACAATCATGTGTTCTCCGTCTCGTTTGACGGATGTTTAGAAAAGAGAGCTCGACTCCGTCCGTCGTTACAAGGGCTCTCCAGCAGACTCGCAAGAATGGATAATGGCGTTGTGGGTCTCCGTACCGATGCAGAAGCATAAACGAGGCTTTAGTTTCATGTATGTTTAAGGACTATTCTGCACATCTGCCTCAGTGCTGGTGAAAATGTGGCCCAGGAGAATGAGCTTGAGGGAGATGCTGCAGACAATGAGGCTGGTTTAGAGGCGGTCAGTGGTGCTCTGTCCTGGAGGAGGTACCAGCAAACCACCACTGCTGTTAACAGGCAAGTCATTTATGTAGGAACCTCTATTAAAAACAACACTGTGGTTTTATTTGCTGAAGAGTCACAATTGTTATACCAGTGGATCCATGAACCGTCTCCTCATTTCATATTTCTGAATGCATCTTAGAGATGTAACAGCTGTCGACCGAGCCAGCCCAGCAGGCCCTGTAGATGGACGATGGAGTGGGCAGTGAGAGGAAGCGTCCCAAAGCTCTCTCTGCAGACCGCCCTGTATGATGTGCCACCCTCTGACCAGAAACGTCCAGCCACCGGTCTGCTCCAGCCCTCCATCCATGTCTGGACCCTCCTGCAGCAGATCCAGCTGTACTGTTAAAGACTTCCTGCTCACTCAGTTTAAACAAATGAGTAACTCAGGTTAATCCTGCATCACGTGTACATAACTGTTCCATATTTGTTTTGATCTGAATATAATTGTCACGTATTATACCGTAAATCCTCTAATACAGGCCCGGGCCTGTATTTGACTCAAGCTCATCAAGCTCCAGGCCTTTATTGGAAGGAGGGCCAGTATTAGAGGCAGGCCTCTATTTCTATTTGAGCAAAATGAACTAATGGTTCGCTGGAGTTTTTGACAATTAAAAGTGCGCCCACATTTTCAAAGTTAAACACATTTCTTTTAACAACGGTAGTCCCTGCTTCAGCCCTCTCCCCCCTCCCCCTGCGCAGCTGCCGCAAACTCACTGATGTGCCTGCAGCCTCTCGGAGTTCCTGCTGCTCTAAACATTAAAATAATTATTTCATTTTCTGTTCCTCACTTCTGATGACCTTCAATGGTGTCTGTTTGTTGCAACCACCAGGTACAAAAACTAACTTGTTTTTATTTGACTATTTTTCTGTCCTGCCTGTTTATTATCTTCCTGCATCTCCTCTCAATCCTACTGCTGCCTGGGTTCATATATATTCACCTCAGAGTTACCTTTGAACTGCAGTTCTAAAAGATCTACCGACCGCAAAAACAGCGGAGCGCTTGCTGTTTGGCGGCTGTATCAGTGATCAGTGCGTCGGAGGACAAGGTGATGCGCGCAGCGTCCCGCTCCACAGCATGCAGCGAAACACATCAGGCGCAAATAAAAGACAGAAAACATTAAAGGAAATGAACTGACATGAACGATCGCGTGTTAAATTAATTTTTGAGGTGGCGACACCTGATTGTTCCTGTGGTCGTGCTCAGGAGGCAGATCTACCGACCGCGAAAACAGCTGAGCGCTCCCTGCTGTGATCTGTGCTTTGGAGGACAAGGTGATGCGCCCCGCTCCACAGCAGCGATACACATCAGGCGCAAATAAAAGACAGAAAACATTAAAGGAAATGAACCGACATGAACGATCGCGTGTCAGTACCTACGGTCTGGCACTTGAGTTTTACCCCCAAAAAGAGAATCTGATCATACGATAATTCAATAGGGAGCGTGGTTTCACAGACGCGGAAGTGATAGCGTCGGTGAAACGCCGGCTGCTCTAGGAAACCCCCGAGCGTTCGAGCGTCAACGAAGTGACACGGAAATGCCGGGCTTTCCAGAAGTAAGTAAGATAACTAACTATGAGCTGATAGTTCGTTGGATTGATCGGTAGGTTGGAAACTCTGATCGTGAATCTGAAGAAACGATGACTGAGTGGTGAGCTGGAAAGGCGACTTCCGTTTATAGCCGCGGTTTGTGACGTAGGTGTGACGTGAAGGGAATCCCCGCGAGGGGCATGCTGGGAGTCCCTACTTCGCAGATTTTCATCTATCGCGGCCAGGTCTGGAACGCATCTACCGCGATAAACGAGGGATTGCTGTAGTTCATACACCTCCTACTGCTGCTCCCCAGAGTGTTCTGCAGCATAATCAGCACGTTCTCTTTGAACTTGATAGTGTTATGACCTGGCTGGGGTTGTAAGCCAGGTGCATTCTGGGTATTGTGTTATATGTGTTTCCTATCGTTCTGCTAGTTCCTATGTGCTGATTTG